TCTGAAAAAACAATTTGTTTACAGTTTCTTTTCTAAGGTGAGTACAATTTAACATTCTTCTACTTTTCCCTTTCCCCACGTATTTTTTCTCTAACCTAGAATTTTAGACTAGGATTTATTACAGAGAATCCTGAAGCCAACTTACTTGCCTCCTTCTGTAGACAACCTGTTTTCTCCTGCCTGGTTGCTTTGTAGGAGTCAGAAGTTTTATTAGCATACTAGAGGCCCAATGCATGAAAATTTGTGCAAGAGTAGGCCTTCTTCCGCTGGCTGCCAGCACCGGCTTCCCTCTGGCACCCTGGACCCGGGCTTCCCACCTCCGGCTGCCAGTAGGCAACCAGGACCCGGGCTGTTTCCCTCCTCTAGCTGCCGGCTGGTACCCGGGACCTGGGCTGGCTTCCCTCCGGCCCCGGCTTCATCAGGAAGGATGTCCGGAAGACGTCCGGTCTAATTAGCATTATTACCCTTTTATTATTATAGATTATAGAAGGTTAGGGGGTTCATTTTTTTTTTTAATGAATTTTTCCTGGTCTGTGGGGAACCTCCATTTTTAAGATCCAGTTCTCTCGAGCTTCTGTAATATATTTTTTATTATTGCACAGTTCTACTTCCTGAGTCTTTTATTCAGGAATGTCATTTACTTGTATATTGGCCTCTCTCTTCTCTGTCCTTTTATATCTACCCTCGACTGTCTCAGTTTTGTCTGTGTTTTGGGAATTTCTCTAGTTCTTCTATGTTACTAACATATTCAGAAAAGTCGGTTCTGTGCTTTCCTTCTTCCAGTGTATTTTTTTTTTAAAGATTTCAAGCAAAAATAATGTGTAGAGACTTTAACAAATACCTGTACACATTCACCTTCAGCTTTGTTGCGTCTAGTAGAGTAAGTACAGTATTTTACCATATGTGCTTCAGAACTTTACGTTGGTAAGTTTAAATCCCTGTGTACTCCTGTTCAACATAACTCCTACCCTGATTTTGGTTTTGGTCTTTATCATTCTTATGCCTATTTATTGCACTGTAGATATCATGTAAATAATGGGGCTAATGTGTCTTTAAATTTTATATGAATGGTATACTGTACAGTTTCTTTTTTCACTCATCATTATGTTGTTGAGAGTTATCCATGTTGATACTTAGAGCAGCAGAGTGGTGATTTCTAAGTAAGCCCACTGGCATGGGTAGTGAGGGATGAGGTGAGCCTTTCTTTCCATTCTTGCAGAGTGACACAGGCTAGAGGTGGCCCTAATTGGTTCATGCACTGCAACTGTGGTATAGGATTCCATCATATGAATATACTCCAGTTCTCCTATTGATGGATATGTAGGTTCTACATGTTTTGCGGTGGAAAATAATATCTCTTTAAACATTCTTGAACCTTTGTCTCTGGGCACACGTGCAAGATATTCCCCTGGGGTATGGACCTGGGAGTAGAATTGCTGGGGTACATTACTAGTTATTACCAAATTGCTTATTGTTATGGTTTTACCTGTTTACATTTTCACTAGCAATGTGCTAGCATTCTTGTAAATTCTATATTTTTATTGTTGGACTTAACATTTTTTTTGATCTGGTGGTTATGATAGGAAATGTTACTGTGGCTTCAATGTGTTTCTCTGATTACTAATGAGATACAGAATATCTTTTCTTTTCAAGGATTTTTTTGAACATTCAAATTCCTGTGATAATTGTCTCTGTATCCTTTGCTTATTTTTTAAAAGCGTTGTCTTTTTTGTTACTTTATCCTCACCCGAGGATATGTTTATTGATTTTAGAGGAAGGAAGGGAGAGAAACATCAATATGAGAGAGGAACATCAATTGGCTGCCTCCTTTGCACTCACTGTTTGGGAATCAAACCCACAGTCATTTGGTATGTGGAATGATGCTTCAATCGAGCCACCCGCCTGGACGGGTTGTATTTTTCTTAATGATTGAGCATTTTTTATGTATGTGATCATCTTATATCTGTAGGTTGCATAGCTCTTTGTGGCCTTGTCTTTTCACATGTGGCATTTGACAGAGCGATTAACATTTGTTTTTAAAAATTGATTTGAGAGAGATTAAGAAATGAATTTGCAGTTCCCCTTATTCAAGCATTCTTTGGTTGATTCTTGTATATGCCCTGACTGGGGATGGAACCTGCAACCTTGGCATATCAGACAACATTCTAACCAACTGAGCTAACAGCCAGGGCCCATAATAGAATCTTCTGATATTTTCCTTTATAGTTTGTGCTTTTTGTATCTTTAGTAAAAAATCCTTCACTCTTCTAAGGTCAGAAAGATCGTCTTTTCTAAATATTTGGCTTCCCATTTAGTCTTTAATTTACCTGGAATTTGTTTCTTAATGTGGTATGAGGGGCAGTATAATTTTTTCCCCCTCATGGACAGGTTTTGGCTCAGGACTGCTTTATTAGTCAGTCCATCCTTTTCTTACGGATTGTAATGACAGCTCTATATTGAGTTATCATAGATCAATGGAGTGACAGTGTTGTTTAATTCTGTAATTAACATTAATTTTGTGTTATTATATCCTTTCCATATGTAGTTCAGTACCTTTATTATTTTTTTTTTATTTTTTTAAATATATTTTATTATTTTTTTTAGAGAGAGGAAGGGAGAGGGATAGAGAGTTAGAAACATCGGTCAGCTGCCTCCTGCACACTCCCTACTGGGTATGTGCCTGCAACCACAGTACATGCCCTTGACCAGAATCAAACCTGGGACCCTTGAGTCCGTAGGCTGACGCTCTATCCACTGAGCCAAACTGGTTAGGGCCCTTTATTATTTTTAATGCTTTCTTTTTATTTGTCCATTCATTCAACCAGTCAGTCAAGAAATACTTAACTGAATGCCTGCTACATGCTGGACACATTATTAGGCACTGAGATACAGCCATTAAAACAGTCACTGCCTCCTACAGCTAAATTTCTAGTGGAGGAAAAACACATAATCAACACTATCCAGTAAATTGATAACATATCCAAAGATGATGAAGTGCTACGTAGATGTCATTTGAAGGAATGTGTATAGTGAGTATACTGTTTTATAGAGGGGTCAGGAAAGGCCTAATTGGTAAGAAATCTGAAGAATGAGAGGGAATAAGTCAGCTGGCAGTCTCTGGGGAAGAGAATTCCAGGCAAAGGAGGGACAGGTGCAGGGCTCCGAGGTGGCGCACACTCGACATACAAGTAGTTTAAACCGACTTGAGTTTATAGTCTGGGATTAAGTATCTAAAATCTTAAGGGTGAGGCCTCCGTTTTATTGTCTGCTGATTCTCATTTTTGATCAGACAAAACTGTCCTCTAGATTTGTGTTCTCCAGTCCTATGTGGCATTTGGTGTTTAAGATTTTTCAGACATCGTGTAGTCAGTTCTGTAATGTGTCAACAGGTGCTGTATTATCGCAGCCTTTATTGTTATTCTTCAAAAAATGGATCTTTAAATTTGGTCTGTGAGTTTCCATCTCATGAGTCTGATGTTCTCTGGTTTCTTACTTAATACATTGCTTTCTTTGCAGCTTAAAACTCTTTCATTGGCCCTAGACTTTCTTTGTTGTTAACTCATTCTACTTTGAGTTTTATCTTCACATGTATCTGCTAAATATTAGTTTCAAACACTTAATCAGTGTGTGGACTCAAACTTATTTAAAAAGTGGGAAAAAGTTTGTCATTTAATTGGACATTGCGAGGTTGTGATTTATAGGAAATACATATATGGTCATTCGGATGACCAAATATATATTTCTCACATATACTTAGGTGGTTTGTACAGTTCCTGGCTCTCAGCTCCCAAACCCTCAGAATTTCCTAAGTGTTGAGAGTGAGGAAAAAAAAAAAAAGAGACAAAGAAAAAGAAGAGTGAGCAAAGTGTCTTTTGTTATGTTAATGAGGCATTTTGGAAGTCCCTGAGAATGGGGGCTGGTTGCCAGTGGGAGCCAATCATATGATTAGAGGGTTGGAACTTTCACTCTCACCTCCTGACCTCCAGGAAGGGAAAAGAGGCCAGTGGTCAATGATTTAATGCAGTGATTCCCAAAGTGGGTGCTACCGCCCCCTGGTGGGCGCTGCAGCGATCCAGGGGGGCGGTGATGGCCACAGGTGCATTTGTTTTAACTTTTTTTGTATTACCTTTCTATTCTGAGTTCAATAAATAGTTTCATAATTTCAAACTTCAATGTTTCTAATTTACACCTTTCTTTACTATGTTTTACGAAAAAGGTAGAAACATTAATACATATATCTTTCTGTTTAATTGCTATTAAAATTTAAAAAATTAATTTCCAGGGGGCGCTGAGTAATATTTTTTCTGGAAAGGGGGCGGTAGGCCAAATAAGTTTGGGAACCACTGATTTAATGTCATACCTATGGAATGAAGCCTACATAAACCCGAAAGGATGGAGTTTGGGGTGCTTCTGGTTTGGACTTGTGGAGGTGCTGGGACAGTGGTGTACCTAGAGAGGGCGTGGAAGCTTCACACCCCTTTCTATGTGCCTTGCCCAATGCTTCTTCGTCTGGCTGTGCCTGAATTATATCCTTTTATAATAACCAGTAATCTAGTGAGTAAGATGTTTCTCTGAGTTCTGTGAGCTGCTCTAGAAAATTAATTAAACCCAAGGAGGGGGTCCCGGGGCCCTCTGACTTATAGCCAGTCAGAGGTACAGACAACCACCTGGACTTGCAATTGGCATCCTGAGTTGGAAGGGTAGTTAGATAACTCCAGTTTGTAGGTACTCTGTCAGAGGCCCAGGTTACAACCAAGCCCAGGTGACACATCGTCTCTCTCTCTCTCTGAAATTGGGTCCAGGAAACAATGTACATGTTAATCTACCAGAATTGTCAGGCCAGGAGTACTTCAGTGTCATGAAACACTCAGTGGGTTCTGGACTGTTAAATATTTTGGCTCCTGGAAAAAAGAAAAATGAGGGGTAGGTTGGCCAGTTCTCTGACTCGCTTTCTGTATTGCACTTGTTATATCCCAGCAACGCTCTTATTTCCTTCTCAGTGGAAGAGAAAGCCAACACCCGCCTCCTCCTCGGCATGTGCTTAGATGCTTATGCTCGCTACCTTCTGTCCTCCAAGCAGCCATCGCAGGCACAGAGGATGTATGAAAAAGCTTTGCATATTTCTGAAGAAATACTAGGAGAAAGACACCCACAGGTAAGAGAGGAAAACAGGTTTCAGAATTTCTGGGTGTGGAATGCCTCATTATTGGGGAAGTAATCAGCAGGTGGTCCTTGGGATGCCCTCCTCCTCATGCCCCAGTCCATTCATCTCCTACCACTCCCCCGCCCCCACCTGCTTGTTGAGGAAGGATTTGGGACTGCTGGTCACTGGCTGGGTCTCCCAGAACCTTTTGAGGGAGGATTGGTTCCCACAGCAGAGCAACCTCTCTAAAAGCAGGTCTGGCCAGGCACCCAGGTGCTTCTGGGCTTCATAGTACACAGCACAGCATTTCAGAATATTGAATCTGACGTGGAACAGTTTAACTCCTGAGGATCCTCGCCTCCCTTGCCTCACAGGTGAATGACAGGAAACGGCGGGGGAGAGGGAGGAGCACATTAAAAAAAATTTTTAAGACTACTGACAGAATTTAAGCAAAGCATGCTAAGCTTTCGGTTAGAACACTAAACACATGGAATTGAGTTGAAATCACCTCTGGGTCTCTCCTCTATCAGACAACGTTTGTAGAGGTAACAAGTGGATCACTTTGTGAACGCTTGGTATTGCCAACACAATTTTAACTGGACTGGACATGTCTCAAGGTTGGGGTAGATGAGCAGGGCAAGTTATTGGGCTATGAATTACCTTCAGGAAAGGGATTTAGGGCTTAATTATAGAGTCCCCTTAATGGAGAAGAGGAGGACTTGCCTCTCTTAGTACCAACATTAAAAATTTTTTAATGGGAAACTTCCTAAATTGGATGATATATTTCTTCTACTTTTTTTCTTTTTTTAAGAAAATATATTTTTATTGATTTCAGAGAGGAAGGGAGAGGGATATAGAAACATCTATGAGAGAAAGTCATCAGTTGGCTTCCTCCTGCACGCCCCCTACTGAGGACTGAGCCCACAACCCGGGCATGTGCCCTGACCAGGAATCCAACCTTGACCTTCTGGTTCATAGGTTGATGCTCAGCCACTGAGCCACACTGGCTGGGCTATCCCTATTTCTTCTTGATGAGTCTCGGTCACCAGTAGGAATGATATTATGCTACAATGCAGTGGCTGGCTTCTTAAGATTGCTGAACTGCCCTGGGCCCAGTAGCTCTGTTGGTTAGAGCCTCGTCCCAGTATGCCAAAGTTTTGGGTTCGATCCCCAGTGACAGCACATAAAATACCAACCAGTGAATGTACAAATAACTGGAATAAATAGATGTCTCTCTCTCTCTCTCTCTCAAATCCATTTTAAAAAAGATTGCTGAACCTTAATGGGATATTATAGCTTCTTTTTGCTATTTTTCATTTGTTTCTAATATAATTAGTTATATTAGTAAATTATATTTATCTTGTTCCTAGTTTCTAGATTTGTATCATTTTCCAGAGGGTCGAACTAAAGCTGCCCATTATACAGTGTGAATGATAAAGGCACCTGTTTGTTAGTGGCTAATGCTCCTCCCCTTTTGTGGAATGCTAGGACAGATGAAATCTTAAGTATATATTTGAAGGTTATCAGACTCCAAATTAACGTTAAATCTCTGTGGGTGTTTTTTTAATAGAAAAGCTGCCTGTTTGTCTTTCTTGTATAGACCATTGTGCTAATGAGTGACCTGGCTACCACCCTGGATGCACAAGGCCACTTTGATGAAGCCTGTGCGTACGTGCAGAGGGCGTCCGATCTGGCAAGACAAGTAGGACATCCTGAGCTGCACATGGTGCTGAGTAACCTGGCTGCAGTTCTGATGCACAGAGGTAGGGAGCTGTGTGATCTTGACCACTTGATTTCGTTAGGGAGGGAGTTACCGGATTTATAAATCTGTGAAATGGTGTTAAGCAGTGGCAAGGGCAGTGAGGAAGCTCCACAATTAAAAGCTAGTTGAATAATACAAAAAAGGGTGTATGTTTGGCAGAAATACCATTGTGCTCAATTGACATAACTTCTGTAGTCCTGCATTAGCTTGCTGAACCACATCAATGCAGAGAGAACTTTGCAATGATAGTACCTCAGTTCTGTAGTGCTTTACAGATTTCTAAATGTGTTCACACGTACAACTTAATTTGTTCTTCACTGTGTACTTGTGAAGCTGGTAAGATGGAGTGTCAGTGTCTGTTAGACAGATTGTGCCATAGTACTCAGGGCCTCACCTATAAATTCCCAGAAGCCTGGATGACAGGTCCTTTCTCCCCATGAGTGAAGCCCTGGGTCAGTGGAGTAAGGGCCCCAGGGCTGTACTGGGCGGTAGGAGAACCACAGCATGCACTGGGCTAGAGTTCTCTACCTGTGCCCCCTTACAACTTCTCTGAGCCAGCACCGACCTGCATCATCACTAGTGCTTTCTCTTCAGAATCACTTTAAAAGCATACATTTTTTTCTTATTCTCCCTTCTCTCTGGGTTATTTTAGAACGATATGCACAAGCAAAAGAGATCTACCAGGAAGCACTGAAGCAAGCAAAGCTCAAAAGAGATGAGGTTTCAATACAGCACATCAGGAAAGAATTGGCCGAGCTGTCCAGAAAAAGTAGACCTTTGACTTAATCAAGCTCTGAATCCCCTTTTGTTGTAGGAAATTTCCCAGTATCAGTGGCACCCAAATCAATGGCTTAAATGAGCGATTTTCAACCTGTTTGTTGCGACAATTTTTAAAACATGCAGTACCCAACTAGTCAGGGGCACTGACCTCTTTTCCCTTAGGTTGTTAAATAAAAAAAATTACAACAGCCAACACAACAGTAGCCATCCAGTGTGAATGAATCAAAATTATACCTATTACTTTGTCAGATTGGCAAAAAATATATTTTTTTGGTGTGCTGCAGAATTTTCATATTTAGTTTATGTGCCACGAGATGGAGTTGAAAATCACTGGCTTAAACCCTTTGTCCTTGATCCTCAAGTGTCCTCAGCTTGGCCTCTGTGCAGGACAGGTTAAACACTGCACCTCCGCTTGTTTTTTACAGGAAAAGCAACTTTCACACCTGACTTTGACTTCTAAAGATGTCAAGTAATTTTTCAGTGTAGCATACTTAGGTGCTCCATGCAGGTCTAATTGTAGATTAAGATGGGTCAGTTTCCCCTGGGTGGGTGTATAATTCACACAGGCATCTCTGCCATAAGAACAAATCACAGAGCAGCCACCTGCACCCAGAACCTCACCACAGGGTAGGCACTACCGCATTCCTGGGGTGCTGACGTGCACCATAGGCCCAGCAGGAGTCGCTGGCCTGGACCCGACTCCTGGCTTTGGAATGGGGTCTCGGTACCCTCATTTGTAAAGTAAAGGACAAAAGAGATTCTTTCTTGGCCACGGGAGAAGGTATTTGGTCAAATGATCTAAATGAATAGATTGCTGTGTTGAAAGAACTCTATCATTTTTCCTCAGACTAGAAAGTGTATACAGATACTCTTCAACTCATCATGAGTTATGTCCTGATAAACCTGTCATAAATTGAAAATACCCTAAGTCAAAAACACATTTAATATGCACCAGCCGGGTGGCTCAGTTGGCTGGAGTGTTGTCTCACGCACCCAAGTGTGCGGATTCCATTCCAGGTCAGGGCACATACCTGGGCTGCAGGTTCCATCCCCAGTTGAGGAGCTTTCAGGAGGCAACCAATCGAAGTTTCTCTTTCTGTCTCCCTTCCTCTCTAAAATCAATAAACATATCCTCGGGTGAAGGTTTAAAAACAAGTATTAAATACACCTAACCTAGTAAATAGTTTACCCCGCCAGTTTCTACTGAGTACCTATCACTTTTGCACCTTCGTAAAATTGAAAAATTGTTAAGTCAAACCACTGAAAGTCCGACTGTCTAAATACAAGATGCATAGATGGGTGTTTTACCTTGCAAAGACCTGGTGGCCTCGGGGAAGGCAGTTTTTCTTCGCACCGTGAAGGAACACTTGTTACTGGTATGCCTTTGGGGTTGGGTTATGAGTGGGAATGATAAACTATATTTTTGGTTCCTATGTACATACTGGAAGAATCCTTTCATAATAAATTACTCTACAACAATATTGTACATATGCCGTAATTTTTGAGTTGCTCATAAAAAGTAACTTACTGGAGTTAATAAAAATAAAATACTAAGGTTCAAACCATTAGAGATTTGACTAAAGCTAGAATTTTGTATTTTGCAGATGTAAGCTTCTTCTCACTTTAAGCTCATCTATTCTTGACCAGCCAGCTAATTCCTTTAGTTAAGTCTTAACTCAGAGATAAAGTGTAGTATAAAGCAGACTAGGTTTCAGTGTAGCCCATTCTTAACTTATTGATGATTTAAAAAAATTACTGTCAACTACTCACCTTCTGCATTGGGAACATTTTTACCTTTTCACAATTGCAGGGGTTACTGGAAGTTAGGTTTTTCACTTCAGGTTTTATTAAGAATTTTTGATACTCCACAATGATTCAACTCATGGACCTGGTGCTGGAAAAACTAGTTTTCAGAAAGATGGTCGCTTCCTGTGGGTATTCTCATTCTAGAGTGTTCAGGGCATGCTTTTATTTTTTAATGTTTTTTATTGACTTCAGAGAGGAAGAGAGAGGGAGAGAGAAACATCAATGATGAGAGAGAATCACTGATCGGCTGCCTTCTGCATGCCCCCTACTGGGGATCGAGCCTGCAACCTGGGCATGTGCCCTTGAATGGAATCAAACCTGGACCCTTCAGGCTGATGCTCTACCCACTGAGCCAAACCAGCTAGGGCGTGTGTTTAAAATAGGATCACTCAGCATACCAAAATGAAAGCTTATGAAACCTCCCGTTACAAACATGCTCTGGAAGTTGGGCTGTCAGAATACTTTCATGGAGGGTATTAGGAAAATCTGGTGCTGCAAAATCATGCGACATCAGAAAAAGTAGACCTTTGACTTAATCAAGCTCTGAATCCCTTTTTGTTGTAGGAAATTTCCCAGTATCAGTGGCACCCAAATCAATGGCTTAAATGAGCGATTTTCAGCCTGTTTGTTGCAAGAATTTTTAAAATATGCGGTACCCGACTAGTCAGGGGCACTGACCTCTTTTCCCTTAGGTTGTTAAATAAAAAAAGTTACAACAGCCAACACAACAGTAGCCGTCCAGTGTGAATGAATCAAAATTATACCTATTACTTTGTCAGATTGGCAAAAAATACTTCAGAACACTGAGATCTCAGCCTGCAGGGAGCGTTACACCTGGTTTACAGCCAACTTCAAGTCATCGGTCACTCAGTGCTGTGCTGGCCACCTCCAGTCATGCTGAGGCGGACTCTAGCCTCCAGATTTGCTCCTTAGGTAAGGCATGTGAGAATTCGGAAATCTCCTCTGGGTGAAGGCAGATGAAGGAAACACATGCACTGTGACAAGGATGGGGTGAGGGATAGTAGCTGCTCACTGCGGGGGTTAGGTGGGGCTGCAAAATGACAAGTTAGGCTCTGATGTATTCTCAGAAACTATTCTGACTTGGAATAGCTTAAGACCTTCAAGGTCATAGGGAAATACCATCATAATCTCGTTTGGGTCAGTTGACAATGTAAATTATTAATGACAGTACCTAAAAAACCAAAAAAACAGAACACTGTTAAGTAGAACATTCAGTTATTTTCTCATTCACATTAAATTGTGTAGGATATATTTATAATAAAGTGAAACCAACTTTCCACATAGTAGAAATCTGATCACTAAACCTGACCTAAGGTTTATTTTGAGGACCTCAGGTATACGAGAGTGGGATAGCAACAGGAGTGAAGGCTTTCACTTCAGACAAACAGGAGTTCATGGCCTGTCTTTGTTGCCTATTTAACTATACGGGCTAGGTAGGAACATGTGTCCTTATCTATAAATAGGGTTGGACAGCAGTGCTAAGGGTGATGTGAAGGCCTTGATCACACATGAAACGCTTCATTACAAAGAAGGTCGTCAGTGGTTATCAGATCTGCTTTCCTTAGAGGCTTCAGTACTTTTGTAAAAAGTTGAGGTCTACTTAAAAGTCTGTGAAGTGCAGATTTCTACCATCCTGAGACTACTCCCCTTTGTAATAGTGGCATCTCCCCAAGCTGCTCAGCATCTAAATGCGGCAGAAGGATGATGCAATAACTATGCCTAAGTTGTATGAAAAAATCTTAAAAATTCAAAAAACAATTATTAATGAAGGAAAAACTGACCCTTCAGTACCATAATCAGTTTAAAATTCAGTCTTAGGTTATTTGCTCCTTGAGATTCAGAGACGTGAGAACATTCAACGACAAACCCTTGCCCACAGGGAATCAAGTGGGAGGAAGCACTAGCGCAGAGAGAAGGGAAGGACCGTGTGTTCACCGCTAAGGTCAGTACATGCAGCACAAAGCAATCTAGAAGCCCAAGGTGCTACACAAATCCTATCTTCTAACTCAGCCGGTAATATACATCGAACTCAGTACAATTATAAGTGTTTCCTTTGAGTCCTGAGAGAGCAAGAGCCTTAAATCACAACCTACTGTGCCTATGGACAGGGCAGTCAAATTTATTTCGGAAGGAAAGCTCTGGTGCTGCATCCAGTGCAGCAGAAAAGAACACTCGGGGCAGTTAGATGCCCGGTGCGCACAACAGCGAGGCGCGCCGCAAAAAAGCCTTTGAAATGTTAAAAACAACTGGAACATACCCATGCAGTAATATTGCTTCAGTGCTCCTAATTAAAAAATTTCTAAGCCTGCCTGGAAATTTACAGTATGGCAGAATTTTGTTTCTTCTATCTTGACCTTAACACATTAATATACAGATTTCACAACAGGGTCTGTGTTAAAAATCTAAACATTTCCACAAGATTTTAAATATCACCTGGAACCTGAATTTAGAGGAAACAATAGGATAAAAGTACAATGCCCGTGACAGCCAACATTACACGCTGGGCTGTATGAGGTTGTTTAGAAGGCCAGGGTTAAAAAGATAGACGAGAAGGTTTTAAAAAGTCACCCCCGAAGTTGATGCTCTGAGTTCAACACAAGTCCACCAGGTACTACAGTAAAGGGCAACACTGCAAAAAGATCATCTATTTACAGAAGAGTGATTTAAAGACATTATGGTTTTCTTTACAGATGTAAGAATAAGAATTGTCCACTTTTAAAAAATTCTACATTCCAACCTTCCACTATTATTATAATCCACCGAACTGCTCGTATCAAAGGCAGTTCTCCCCCATTTGACTCTGCAGTTCCATCATTTCTTCCTCATCCGTGGTCCAGGCTCTCCTGAAAAGTCTCTGAGCATAAGTCATGGGAAGGCAGGTTTTTACCTGCAGTTAAAAATAAAACCACCAAAAACTAGAGATCCCTCCTCCACGCATGGTCCCACCCAGATCCCTCTTCTGTGCAGCTCAGTCATCACTGTCCGACAGCGTCTCATACTGCGCTGAGAGCAGCGGGGCCGGCTCTCGCTCCCAGATCCTATTCTGCTGGTGAGGAGTTGCTTGGTTCACAGAGGCGGCGGCGCATGCGATCGGGGTTGGTGGCGTGCTGCTGAGCATCCGCATAGTCAGAGGGTTATAAGGAAACTGAGTTGAGCCTGGCAAAAGAAAAATTAGGTGTTCACTGTCATGAGCATAGTCACTGTTTTCACATGATGGAGGCGGCCAGGATTATACTAAAATGATCTTGTAAAACTAAGCAAAAGGAAACCACACAGAGGGCCAAGCTTCCCCACTGGACTGTAGCCAGTGATAATGCAGCAGTCTAGAAAGGTCAAACATGAATACACACGTGAGGTGAGGGTTGCTGAGTCCAGAAATGAAAGCTCAGGCCTGGATTTTAAGTCTAGAACTAGGTGTTTCCAGAGAATATAAACAGAACTTCTGGATACGAAACGAAGCTCTAACCAAAGGAGTCTGGTTACTCCCAGAACTTCCTGACTCTTACAGTCAGGGACACAGTTCCCACAGGAGGAGGGGAGAAGTACCCAGGAATTTGCTAGGTCACGGGCAGCACGATGAGTGTCATCTGCTGGATCACACTGGGCAGATTTATGAATGTACAAGATTTAGAAGAGGGATACACAAATCTAATGATAGCACTGCTACCTTTTGTCAGTTTCTAAATTATCTTATTGTCCCCAGAAAGTCTCCTACAGATTAAGAACCTCTAACAGAAAGCATACCATTTTATTAAGTAATTTCATGAATGGTTTAATAATTCCTTCCCTAAGAGAGATTTGAGGACAATCACTGATCTAGGCAAGTCTTCAAACTAGTACATAAGGAGGCAAGTCTTCAAACTAGTACATAAGGACTTCACGTCTGGTGTGAGAATTTTAGGAATCTGGTGAGGAGTTGCTTGGTTCACAGGGGAGGGCACAATGTACATGTCCTCAGGGGAGGGCACCTTTCAGAGTTTCCCACTGACATCTGTACATTAACACCTAAGGAAAGGGTGGCTTATAATTCTCTGAAACTTAATCCATAGCAAACATCCCAGTTTTGTTTTTAAAAAAGGGTAAGTCTGTTTTCTAAAAGACACCATTATTAAGTCTTTTTAAAAAAGCAGCTTTCAAACGGGCACAAATGCTAGAGAACTGTTTTCATCTGTCTGTAGGGACACAGTGCACCTAAAGGAGGGCGAGTGGCTTTTTATTTTTATTTTTTAAATATGTATTTTTATTGATTTTTTTTATTACAGAGAAGGGAGAGGGATAGAGAGTTAGAAACATCGATGAGAGAGAAACATCAATCAGCTGCCTCCTGCACACTCCCCACTGGGGACGTGCCCGCAACCAAGGTACATGCCCTTGACTGGAATTGAACCTGGGACCCTTCAGTCTGCAGGCCAATGCTCTATCCACTGAGCCAAACCGGTTAGGGCGGGCGAGTGTCTTTTTAAACTGCTCTTTCCATCTCTGACTTGGATACCCTAGTGTTCCCTAAGAACCCTGGAGGGATGTCGGGGAAAGGCTGCAGGTGAGGCTGCCGGGGGAGTGGCACTTCACATTTAGGTAGAGTTAATTCATGCAGAACTGAAACCACAGACACACTTGCTTTGCAAATGCCAACATAACATAGAAGGGCGGATGGATGAG